GGCTACCAAAACTAACAGGCCAAAAAGTGTGCAGAGAGGGACTTAAAATGTGTGTCATTTTTTTTTTAAAAAAAAGGTTCTGGGGGGAGGGGCATTATATTGCTCAAAATAAACTGCTGCATTTATCAAAGCACAGGTATTAATTACAACTTAACAGTTTTTAAAAAAATGTGCTTCTGTATCTGGTGATAACTCAATTGTAGAAAGAGGTGTCCTATTGAACTGCTATTAGGGAGAAACAAAACAAAAGGCTTTTAGATTTACTTGCTTAAAATGTTGTCTACTTGTGTAGTAGGGTAATTATAATGCATGCCATTCCACTGAAGAGGGATAAAAAGTGTTCTGACAAAGCTCAAGTATCAGTATATTCTTATAGTATACAAGGCAAACAACACTAGCTCCAACTGGAATAACCTGCCCAGTGTGCAGCCGAACATTCTGGGCTCACATAGGTTTCACCAGCCACATAAGGAGGCACAAAGCCCTCATCCCCCTGGATGACAAAAGTGGTCATCATGGAACCACGATGGACGAACTATGTATCTCTCTCTTTCTCTCTCTCTCTCTCTCTATATATATATATATATATATATATATCTGTGGCATTTTACATTCTCGAGAGACGATCTTTTCCCTTTGCAACTTCTTGTTTGACTAAAGAGGCCAATCCTCTCTCTCTATATATATGTGTGTTTGTGTAACATTTCTTTTTATTGTAGTATTTTTTTTTCTGGGGCAATGAAATCTTTGAATTAGTTAATTGTATATACATTAGTTTATAATAGATATAGCAAGGGCTTAATTACTTTTATTTTTGTTTCTTTCTTAAAGGTCGAGACATCCGAGAACGTCTTGATGAACATATTGCTCAATTGTATGCTGACTTAGATGGTGGTTTTACTCACCTGGCTTGGTTGTTGCCAGGCTGGTTGCCCTTTCCAAGTTTCCGGTCTGCATCTTTAAGGATTTCTCATTTTTAATTTGGATTTCCTAATTATGTTTTAAATATTTTATATCTAATTTTTATTTTCAAGCTTTTTTCAATTTTAATTTTTTGTTTTTTTGCTTTTGTTTATCATCTTAGAAAGCGAGACAAAGCTCAAAAAGAAATGAAGCAAATCTTCCATGAAATCATTCAGAAAAGAAGAGCCAATCCTAATCCTGATGATGATATGTTGCAAACTCTTATAGATGCCAAATACAAGTAATACATTCTATCAATTCTCTTAGTAGTCTATTGAAAAAAAGATAGCTGTGAATAGTTAATTAAAACTACTTGATTAACAACTCTTATAAGAAGTCTACCTTACATAAAAATATATTTATAGGAGTGGGCGCTCATTATCTGATGAAGAAATCTCTGGTATGCTTATTGGGTTGCTGCTTGCTGGCCAGCATACTTCATCTACCACCAGTACATGGATGGGATTTTTCTTGGCTAAAGACAAAGAACTTCAAGTACGTGTTGATAATAAATTATTAGGTCACATAATTACCTCCTGTTTGCTAGTATAGTTTGAAAATATGTAGCCAATGTGTGTCTGTTAAAATGTTTGAACATGTTATTTCTCCCACACCCAATCTCAGTTGATGCTGAAATTTTGCACAATTATTTGTTATACCTGCCAACACATGAATCAATAAATAAATTAACCAATTAGTTAATTAACTATTGGTAATTAATTTTTATGTTTGTATCTCGAACAAGGGAAAGATATGGTGGTACAAGTTGAATTAGTCGCCTTTATAGTTTGTAGAAAAAAACATTCATGAATTAGGAGGCCTTCGCTCTCAAGTTCGAATTTAGGTCTCTCCTTTTTTATTTTTTTAAAAATATAAATACAATTAAAAAGTTATCTCCCAGATACTCCCTTCTTTCTCCCTACTACCCCTTTCCAACTGGTCCAGACAAGTGATAGGATCAAAGCTTATTGAGAAAGCTAAAAACCTGATTGCACTTAACAAAAACAACTGGTAAAAAAATATTTCTAAATGCACAGATTTATTATTGTTAGTCTGGATCTATTACAAATTTAATTACATGAGTTATCCAAACTAATTGACACTAGACTTAAAGCTTTGTTTTTTAAAAATAAGATTTTTTTTGTATCATATATTTTGTTACTATGTGTAACCCCAAATAATGTTCAGAAATCATTAAGGCTAATTATTATTGCTGTTCAAAATGATGCAAATAGTTTATTTATGTCTTGACTGTCAATAATTAAATAAATAAATTATACATTTGAAGAATAAAAAAGTCATTAACAACATTAAAAATATGTCAATTTTTTTCTATAACTCCTTTTATATGGTTCTTTCTGATTTTTGTAAAAATGATTTCAAATATACTTTTTAAAAAATGTATAGTTTTCAAAATAGGATGACACCCAAAGTTTTCTTTATTTTGTTTGTTTAAAGAAAAGAGTGTATGAAGAGCAGCTAAGAGTTTGTGGTGAAGGTTTAGCTCCAGTTGACTATGATCAGTTGAAAGATATGCAATTGCTTGATCGTTGCCTCAAGGAGACTTTACGTTTGCGTCCACCCATTATGACTATGATGAGAATGTGTAAAACTCCTCAGGTAGGACTTTGTAGTATTTTAAAAAACATTTTGTATTTTAGTGAATTATTTTTATTACTTGGCAAGTTCTGACTGTTGGCCAGTCCATTTGCTTCTTATTTTTATTTCTAGAATATACTTGGATACACTATTCCACCTGGTCATCAAGTTTGTGTTTCACCTACAACAAATCATCGCCTTCCAGGCAATTGGAAAGACTTTGACAAGTTTTTACCTGACAGGTAAAATAAGTTTCTTGTTTATTTGATCTGTTAATTACAATGTGAAAACTCTATTGCTATTGTTTTTGTGCAAAACATTTACTTTAAAATAAGTTTTGTGAATCTTCTCAAAATGTAAAAAAAAAAAACTGTAGACATTAACATATTGTCTTCACCTACACCTATCCCTTAGTCTATTGGATCCTTGGGGCACCACACAAGATCTGTTGACTGTCTTTCACCATTCCTCTCTGTCTTTGCCTTGAACAGACACTCCCTCAATAGCAGGCCTGTCCATTCCTTTATGTTGTCTTCCCATCGCTTTCTCTGTCTCTTCTTCTCTTTTCCTGGTACTGTTCCCTGAAGGAAAGTTTTGCAAGTCCTGAGGATTTTTTAATATGACCATAGAATTTTAGTTTGTGTTTTTTGATAGCAGGTCCAATAGCTGTGCTAATCCTCGTCTCTAATCTCTTTGTTTGTACATTGTGTATATTTTAAATAAGAATCATTGAAATTTAAAAACAAATATAGATTGATTTGTTAGTTGGTATGTAAAACAGTCACATTTTCTTCACAAATGTAGTCAGGTATTCTTTTAGATGGTAACATTCTTGGCTGTCTCAGTGTCTTGTATATAAAAATGCTAGGTTTGGTGTTTGTTTATATTGGGGTTAGAATAAGATTTAGGTCAAAACAGCAAAGATCTGGTCATTATTATCATGAACACTATTATTTGTATTATAGGTTTATTGACCCTGAAGTAGCCAACAGTGAAAAGTTTGCTTACATCCCATTCGGTGCTGGTAGACACAGATGTATTGGGGAGTCCTTTGCATATGTGCAAATAAAAACCATATTTTCCTACTTGATTAGGAAGTATGAATTTGATCTAGTAGATGATTATTTCCCTGAAGTCAATGTCTCCACTATGATTCACACACCTTCAAAGCCATTGATCCGATATCAACTAAGGAAACCATAGATGTCAACAAGTGTCATATATTTCTTTGTTTCCACAATTTCTTATCTTGCATATAAATAAAATGATGGTATTTTAATAATACAGGCCATGGTATTGTATTATAGTTCATTTTTTGTGATTAACATTTTATAAATATATTGCTTAATCTATATAACTGAGTCAAGTAGAATTTTTTTTTTTTAATCTGCTGAATAGCCACACATTTTGATATTTTTTATTTAAAGAAATCTAATTGATGAAATGTTTTTAATGGATAAATAGTTTTTATTGTTTTGTTACTAGACTAGTCAAATGAAGAGAAGTTACATTGTTTTATAAACTTAGAAAAAAACATACATACATTGACTAGTCTGTTTCTTGTTAGAAAAAAACATACAAACATTGACTAGTCTGTTTCTTGACTATTACATGATTGTCTCCATTCTTTGTTAAAAGTAATGGCATATGTATACAGTTAAAATATTATATTTTTTATCAAACAAGTTTGCCTGTTTCTTTAGTAAGTTAATAATTGATGATCGTTTTGATATAAAACATTAAGTTTTAATGACAAGCAATCAATCAATAGAGATGGAAGTACCCTTAATTACTTTATCTAAAACTTTTAATAAATATTTCCAAACCCTTAATCCCCTCATCCCAACTTTTGACAATTATTCCTAAATCAAGACTTATTTGAAGAAACTTGTTCAGTTTTTCTCAACCCAGAGTCTAAGTCATATTTAAGTGATATCTTTTTTTTTTGTGTGTCCTACTTATATGTATTTATATATCATTTTAAGATAAAAATAAATGAATGCCAATTGGTGAAGGTATAGTTTACCTTTTCCTGAATTCAGGATAAACTACTGGCCACCCTCCCTTGCCTCAATTTATCTTACATTGAGATCAAAGCTAGCTAGGATAGGGTCACATAGTACATAACATCTTTTTTCATGTACAGTAGGTAAGATAGGTCATTTAATGTAGCAGACTGTCAGGTGATGAGAGCTCTTAACTTGTAAGCATAGCGCACAAATCAGTATTTAAAGTATTCTGAATCACTGCAATAAATCGTTTTACATTTACTTTCCATTAAAGATGTGCATGGCTAGTGTTTTAATGTTATTTTGTTTTGAAATTGAAGAAATGCTTTTTGCCATTTTTTAAAACTCTACAACTTTTTGTGTGTGTGTGTAAGAAAGTTATTTGTACTAAACTGTTTTATTTATAATTCTGTTATTTCACCAAAGCTATGTTCTGCCTTTTTTTTTTTTTTTTACTTTAAGGGTAAGAACTAACATAGGGGTACTTTTTTATTAGTAGCAGCAGTGATCTCTTTGTATAAAAAAAAAATCATGGAAAGTTGTGTAACCATCTTCTAAAAAGTTGTTGTTTTTTTTTGCAGATGTGTGTAATAAATTCAACAATGTGATTTAAATTCTTGTCTATTTATTTCTCAAAATATGATTTCAATAAAGCTAATTTTATATACTGTACACATCTTGACATGAAAAATGTTTAATAAACTATGACTGCAATATAATGGAATATTTAAACAATACTACATACAGCTGGAATTTACTAGATTTACAATATAAAACATTAAGAAAAAAATAGTTTATCAATAAAGTGTGTATTGCATAAAAAAAAGTTATCTTACAGTTTCAAACTAAAGGCACTTTAATTTTTAAACAATTTTATTTTGATTAATCAACTTTTTTTTTTGTTTCCATTTCAGAAGAAAATACTTGCTATATGTACACTCAAAAAAAAACATCTTATAGGCATGTACTTAAAACACTAATCACAATCATTATTCATACATTTGTCCAAACTAATTATTACTACTAATTTATAAAGTGATTATGCTAACAAGTGAAATGTTGCCTTCATTCACTATGTACAATGACAACCATATTACATCATATCACAACATAAGTTGCAGTTTCTTTCAGGAAAAAAACAAACTTGTTGAAAGACTTAACAAAAAAAAGATATTTTTAAAACAATAACAATATTCTTCAACTGGCAACATTTCAAGTTAAAGAACTGGCACTCCTTTGACCTTCTCAGCTAGCACAGTAGTGACAGTAGGTCAAAACATCCTTTCATTGGCAATCTAATAATAAACATACAAAGCAAAAAAAAAATAAAAAAATTTGTCAAAGAAAACACTTTCAAATGATCATGTATTTCAATAAATGCACTGTTTTAGCTGTTTTAGTCATGAAAGCAGGTATGGTGCTGGTCAAGTATTGTCAGAGGATTTGAGACTTACTTAAGAATTATTTAAAAGATAGTGGGGCATATATCCAATGTTACTATCAGCTATAACAACCTTGAACAATAAATGCACTGACTAGAACCTTAACTTATGCTGAACATAACACCACAAATTAAAACCTGAATATATATGTATATTATAACAGTAGTGCTTATTTTGTCCAACTGTAAAATAAATTCAGGGTGCTAGTACATTAGAGATCCATAAGCCTTTGTTACCTCTTCAGAACACAAAGAAAATAATAATGAAATGTTCAATAGCTCATAAGTTTTTGAGATCTCAACAAAAACAGCAGCTTTCAACCAAAGGAGAGTAGACATCCAAACTGGACAACAAAGGAACACAATCAAACTCTTTGTCATGTTAAAAGAAGCAATAAAACACTTTTTACCAGATAGAGTGAGTTAAAAAAAAAAAAAAAAAAAAGATTCAATAGATCTAAAAATTACAAAGTAACATGCATTTACTTTTGTCAGACTTGTATAATAGTAACAAACAGGTCAGCATCTGCAAATCAGTAAACACTTAGATCAAATGTGATTTCCATTTGACAATATAATGGTTTAATGTTAGATTGTAAACATTTGCATCCATGGGCAATTTCAATCAAGCTATTCTCAAAAAACAAGGAGTTTTTTAATGTATGAATGTCTAACCTCCTCAACAGTAATACAAAATAGATTCTTAAAGACAGAAAACTTTTATGACAAGCTAAGCACTATCTTATGGTACTTCATGAAACATAATTATTTACAATCATCGCAAGAAAGACAAGGGTAACTATTTGGGCTGTACAATATCCTATAGTAACAAATTACATTAAGGGTTGGGACACTTCCAAAATAATACTGGTATTTTTTTTTTCACTAGCGAACAGACTTACAGAACTATGAAATAACTCATGTATTTATTAGAGATTAAACAAAAAATATCTTTACAACTATGAGTAAAAGATGTTGCTATTTCAAAAACAAAATGTCTTAAGGATTGTTTCCATAAAATGAATTTGAAAAAGGCAGAAACAGGAAAAGTAACAAAAGAAAAGTCAAATTGTCAATTCAATTTTTGGAGCTCAGTTACACTAAAATATTGTGAGTAAAAAAACAACAAAAGATAAATACAATAATCTTGAAAAGATATTCCTATACAAATGTAACAGTTGAACATGATTTTCCATATACCATTTGCAATACTACTTCAGACAATACCATTAACTGTCAAGCTGTCTATGCCAATTAGTATTTCTAATTTTACTACTCAAGCTAATAAGAAAGAAACATCACACATGCAAAGGTGCAGTAGAAGTTCATTAAGATGACATTTAGCATCCAACATGTTAGTTTTTTTTTATGCAATGGCCTCAGAAAATGCTGACTGCATGTTTCAAGCAAGCTCAGTAAAATATGACCCATATGAATATTCTTAAAATAAAGCTGCATGAATTCCTCCTCCCCTTCCCCCTTTTTTCTAATCTTTTTTAGTAAATCAGTCAAGGAAGATTATAAACCAAGGTGATGACTACTCATGTTAAGGTTCAAGGTTTAGATTAACTCTTGTTGTTGTCTTAAAAAAAAAAAGTTCTACTTGCATTTGTTTTATTATTCATGTTAATATTATCACTGAAATTGAACATTCATCAAAAAATGACATACAAGCCCTTAAAATTGTTTCCCTGAGAAAAAAAAAAAAAAAAAGCATCTTCAACCATTTCTTCGATTATATTTTTCTAATTATTGATGTGTTGCTTCACGGTACAAAACAATCCTCTATAAACTAGGTCCAACTGTTATTTAAAAACCCAGTAAATCATGACATTTCTTAGAAAATGAATGAGTAATATCAATGGTTTTTAAAAAAAAAAAAAAAAAAGAATGATTTAGTGAGACTAATTGAAGTAGTTAGAACTCTTGCTAAAACAACTTGTCGCCTAAACATTTTGTCATGCTGGAATCATAGTTCATCTAAAAGGAAATGTTCCTGTACAGGAATGATTCTATTGCAACATCAACATTGGGGGGAGGGGGGGGGGGCAACAATTTTCAATAAGTTAAACTATAAGGCACACAATGCTGTATCACTGGAAAAAGAGTTCGTTGAATTCTAAAAGCATAAACTCAACAATTTTACTTTGGTAGACAGTCTGAATGGCCAGGCTGCCACCCTCTTCTTTCTGCCACATGAGAGTTGGTCCGAATACTATAGCTATGTTCTGAGTCTGCATTCGGTTCTCACGCCACACTTCCATAACCCTAGAGTAAATAAAGTTCAAAGTTCATTTTTACACAGAGATATGTTGCTTCAAGTACATGACTTAAAAATTTAGGAATCTACAAGATCAATGATTTACAGAAAAATGTACATTCAGCCTGATTTATAATGCTGAAGATTTGTTCTAATTTACAGTGTTCTGTCACAACTATTTATAAAACCAATTAAAGAGTTGCAGATCACTGGTGTGTGGTTTGATTTGATTGCAAATGTCAGAATAATAAAAAACTGAAAATGTTTGCTTCTCCTTAAAGAATACTCTTTCAATAGTTTCAATTTAACCCAATAGCCTGACTAATTATCCAAGATGCAAGACAGAAACTGCAGCTTATTTTCACCTAGCTCCATATATTCATATAAAAAAATAAGTTAATTCATTTCTTACTTGGTCAAATGCTGAAAAAGTTCTTTAAGTGTGTGATAGTTGCATCGGGGAAGGTCTCCTACAGCAGATTTAAATAAACCCAATTTTTCTTTTCTTGATTCTTTTTCTGTATAAAATAAAATACAATTGATTTGTATAAGAAAAGGACTTAATTTAGATTCCTTCTTATCAGACAAAAAAAGCATCAATAGATAATTGTAGTTGAAGTATTGAGGACATGTCAAAGAAATGAGTAAGTGTGAACAAAACAAAGACAACTGGTCAAATAAAAGAACCTAAGAAATAATGATAATACAGTTTAATTAAATTAATAAACAGAACAATTACTTCATAACACCGCTGTCAGCTGGCAAAGTCAAAAGATATGCGACGTAAAAGCAATAAGCAAGCTAATAACATATTTACAAATTGAAAGCATATTGAGAGGATGGCATCCCAGATAGAAAACTGAAAGACAGTTTAGTAAGAGTTATCACAAATATGAACATATGTGTTTTTATGCCTCATTAAATCAATGAAAGAGTATCCAGAGACCAGAAAGAAGATTATGTTACATTTTTTTAAATAAAAAAAATCTGAACTAGACACTTATTACCAGTTTGAGATTTTAGTATTACATTTAAATACTCAAACAAACAATCATGATGTTAGAAAATTCAGAGCCTATCAGATTTAACAAGGAAGTTTGTTGATTTTTTTTAAAAGGTGTATATAATTTATTTATTTATATATAATAAGGGAACATGATTTTCTTTTTCTGTATGCTAAAAACAGCAATTCTTTCAGTCAATATGAATCAGCCAGTAAAAACCAAGGACTTAGCCATGTTTAAAACGTTTGGATGAATGGCAAGATTAGCAGATAAATATGCATAGGACTTACAATCATTTTTCAAGGAATGTCTGTAAATAATTATAACAAGATAAGATTAGGATAAGTAACCTACTTATGGCATCTGTAAACCTGTCATAAAGGTTAAAAGGAAATACAGGCTCTTTTAACTCTCTGAAGAACAGTTTCAAGGCTCCAGTAAGCACATGTATGTCCCATTGGTCATCATACAAGTTATAGTTTTCATCTGAATAGGAGAAATCAAATAACAAAATAAAAAACTATACACATGTGATGGTCAAATCCTATTTGGGAAGCCAGCCTAATCAGGAAATGACCAAGAGTGATAAAATTTGCCCAGTATATGTTTGATTTATTCTTGATTTTAGGGACTAGGCAAAACTTTGATCTCACACTACTTCCTGACTAGTTTGTTTTTTCACTATGACACAGCTCCCAAATAATGTTCTACTGCTTCATTACTTACTCAACACATTTTTTGGACATTATTGTTGGTAGCAGAATCCACAACAATGAGCTGTGCTATGCTCTTTATCAGACAATACACAGAAACTTGTTGCCATGTTATTGTCAAAACTTTCAGATGCCAACAAATCAGAAGGCAGGTTTTGATAGTTTTGTGTATATATAATATCATTTAACTAGATTAATACCATTTGGCATATGTCTAAATTATAATAAGACCTTAATAATTTAATCTCATCTCACCCTTTTCTACAGTACATCGAAGCCGTTGTATTTCAGCCATATTGCCACTTATACGGTATAAGCCATCATGTTTTAAACCTGAAAGAATAGTTTATTTTTTGTCATTATTCTTGCAGAAAAGAAACAAGCAGTATAATCAAGGTTATTGACAGTTCTTAAATGTGGGATAAAAAAAAAAGCATATTCAGTACTTGTGAGTAATTCATTTTAAATCTTTTAATTACAATAAAAATAAAAACATGAGAAATATGAAGCACTACATTTACTTGAATTTATTTCACCTTATTCTACCATTGTACTTGGTATAATGTACCATGTAGAAATGAAATATTCATGTTTTACTGTGGTGACTTGCAAAAATAATTACCTTTTCTACTTATAAAAAGACTGGGAAAGAACATTATCTAACTACATGACCTAAAATGTTCACAGCTCATTACTTAGCAAAGTAAAAAGAGTGATGCCATCCATTTTTTTATAATGAACTTCAAAGAGATTAATTTTATTGTTTCCTTTCACTGAGCAGTAAATATGTTTCCGTGGCTGACCTGATAACTATAAATAAACCTTCAATTCTAGAAGTGAACAAAAAATCTGTTCTAACCTTTACGTTCCACTGCAGCTATACATAAATGTACAAACTTGGGCACATTGGTTTTTTCTTTATCACATAGTTCATGGAGTAAAGAGCCAAATACAGCATCTGAAAACAGAAACATTCTTTTCAAAACAAATCAAGGAGTAGAACAAAAATATTACTTTGTAGCTTCATTTCCTTATTGGGTAAGAAAGACTGATTCATAATGAGACTAAAAGGAATAGCAGACCTGCCTACCGTTACGCAAAATGCGTATCCGTTACGCAAATTCTCCCAAAAATGACAGTCAGTACGCAGATACGCATTTAACCCATCGCATTACGCATCCTTTTTTTCCCCCTCTCTTGACTAGCTTACGAGCGGTCATGGAGGTCACGCTAAGCCGTCCTGTTGGGGGGGGGGGGGGGGAGGAGGAACAGAAAAGGTGGGGGAACACATTGTGTCCAGATCTATACGCTGATTGGTTCTTAAAAGCAATTAGATTTAGTCTAGAAATGAAGAACGCGAGAGTGAGGGAGTGGCGGGTTGGAACTGTCAGCTGATACACCAACGTGACTTTTTTTTGTAAGTTCATTAGTAGAAATTAATTATGTTGAATCGTTGATTTCCGTATTC